ACAGTTAGTGTTAAGCTAAATAATTATGCAAAACACAATTGATATATCTTACACCAGCACCAGTGTTTTTGTTAGAAAATTATTCGATTTTGTACAGACGAAACAGGTTTCTGTTTGAAGTAGGATAAATGTGATAAGTCCTGCTAAGTGGTATGGTTAACGAATGTTGTATCTTTGAACGAGACCACAGTACTAGCTAAACTCAATGCAAACGACATACACGTATTTATAAACAAGTTTTATGCATTAGAAATATTTGACTTCGTTAACACAATTATTCATGTTGTTGCAGGGTTGGGACATTTCCGTTTGTTAAAATGTCCGGCGAATAGTTTTTCGGCACTGATTTCTTTCGCTGATACATTATTTGTCACATGGCAAAAAAATAATTACAGCTGCACATTTTTTTGTAGAAGTGAGGGCGCAGAGTGTATTTCCAATTTTGTACATATCAATGACTCTATTAATGTTATATTATTAAATATTATTCGTTGCAATGAATAACTTAAGAGTTTATGAAGATGTGGAGGACGGTACATGAGTCTAAACAAAGCTTACGGCAGCAAATCATTCTATATATGGTTTCAGGTAAAATATATAACTCTAAAGGTGCCCGGTGTATTATATAACTAGTAAATTGTAAGAATGTAAGAATGTAAGAATAAATAATAAGAATAAGAGTAAATGTAAGAATATTTTACTGGTTTTTTTTTATATTTTTTTAATTTTTTTTTTTTTTTTACCAAAAATATTTGGATAAGACACTTCAAATTAAACGTCTTTATGGGACTTATAATGCATCGATATAATGGAAAGATTAATATAATACACCCACGGATAATTATGTATATTATTTTATATTTAAATTAGATATCACTATTAATTAAATACCACTAATGGTAGTGTAAATAATTATTAATTGTTAATTTAATCTATGATTATTATACTGTTTTTCATAAATTGTTTTCTATCTTAATAATTTTTCAAATCATTACTACTTATTTTACAATTATGAATTTTCGACCCTTTTTATAATTTGTGTCCGTTCTTTCTAATTTATATGTTTAAATTGTAGCCGTAGAAATTTAAATAGAAATATTATATTCATATTAAAAATAAATGTTTTCAATACATATGTTATAAACACAAAAAATGGTATCCCCTTTTCTTAAGTTTTTAAAAAGTACCATTATTAATTAACTATACAACCCAAAATCAGCTTTATGAGTGAAAATCTATCTAATGTTTTATAATATACTACAACCAAACTATTTCACTACGAGTAATAGATATTCTACTATCCAGTAAATAACACAACATTTCAATTTTTTAACTACATTTTTCCCGGTAAATTACCAAAAAAAAGTATAGGTACCTAAATTTTACATTTTCAGTTCAGGAACACCGTCCGGACTATTTTTTGGCGCATCAATATTACAATATCCCATTATATCAATTTATCTGATAGTTAAGGTAGTGTATGGATTAAAGTATTAAAGTAGGGAGGATCTTATAGCGTCAAATTTGGCAATAACCAGTATTACAATGTCAAAGTTAGTGATTACGTTTTAGTTATAAACATCAGTTCAATTATTCAAAACTTAACGTTTTCATTGGTTCATAATCAATCATCAGATAAACATGGTTGTAGAGTTGTGTTCTTTATATAGTTTATGGAGTAAAAGGAGATAAAACCGTGATGAACTTAAATAATATTCATATCGTGGATTTATTTATTAATTTCATTGGTCAATTTAACAATTTCAACTACTCGGCTCAGTCAAATTCTGCCGTTAGTAAAAATCCCGGATACGTTATGACGGAGAAAAAACAATCGTACCAAATGATGTACGAGTGGCGTGCGGTGTTTGAAGGTAAAATGCTAACACAAAAAACGTGTACCAAACGCGCATAGACATTGGGTGTGCATGTAGAAATTTTCTGCGGCGTACACATAACGCGACTGTGAATTGTTTTTATCGTGCATGGTAAGCGCGGAACGACAGGAAAGAGAAATCGCTCCTCCAAACGTGATATATTCGCGCGCGAGGGTTCAGAAAGAAAAATCCGCGTGGAACTCTAGAAATATCGAGGCTGAAGGGTTTTGGGCGAACGGTCGTCCCACGCTCGAAGACCAACCGCCGGTCGCATTGCCAGATAGACGGTGGTGATATATTGTGAGGGCCGTGTACGCGCGCGTGTACATTTTCGCCGAAGAATGAAGACGTCGCGGTGGATACAACAGGTCCGACGAAGGCGCTGCGCGCAGTCGATGATGGCGCAGCGGGACACGGGTTTGACGATGATATATAGAGGATGGTGGTGGTTTCCTCCGGCTGGACCAATTAAAAGCGTTTCGTGCACCACCGCCACGGCCGAGAGAGGTCGAATTCTCATATATCGGTCCAACGTCCTGCCACCGAATTCCTTGATGGTCCTGCGCGTGGGTGACGTATGAGAAATGGCGTTAACCAACGAGTATATGTGTGTGTGAGAGAAAAAGAGATATTTAGGATGCGTGTGTTTGCCGATCCAGGGCGATAGGAGTGTGCCACGGGAGAGGGGTAGTAGCTTCCGATTGTTTACACGCTGTCAAACCCGATGAGCTCATGTGCACGCAGATGGGATACGTAAAAGGATATTTATATATATACGGTGAGCGTTATCGGACTTCTACGGTGGTTTCATTTATCACAAGGCGCTGTGTGCATCGCTCCGGTGGCGTTTTTGAAAACCGTTTCGGACCGAACGGCTGGCGTCCGTGCGCGATGGACACGAGGTGCTCTCCGACAGCGTGATAAACCGAAAGACCGAAAGGAAATTGGAAATTGATGGACACGGACGATATACCCAGCGAGCGCGTGTGAAAGAAAATCGAGCGCTCGAGGTGCGATGCTGCCGGACGGACGTTAACACGGCGATACGTTGACGACGCAAAAGATCGGTTTTCGGGGTGGGGGGAACGTCGCCGCTGTCTTTTATCGGCAGCCCGGAGACGTCAGCAAAGGATTAGCTCAGCGGTACGTGCACTCAGTGTAGATATGATTTGTAGTTGACTTGACTATCCCGCACGCAGTTCTCGCATCATTATTTATACACCTACACACCCCTGAACTAACCTGACTCCGGTTACAAACACGTTTTTTTTTTTTTTGTTTTACCGTACTGCTGTAAACGTAATAGACGACGAACAGTAACGGACACCGCCGATAGGAGACGAGACGGTGTAGTGTAAAAACGATGGTTTTCAACAGTAAAACTGCCAGTAAAGTTAAGCCGATTCTTCCATCTCCGAGCCGACCGGCAAACAATCGAAATCAAGCTCAATGCAAAAATGAATACAGTTTAGAGTTTTCAAACCCTGTTGACAATGCCGTAATAACCGGGTGTATTGCGTGTGTCAAACACACGGGCCTATGGCCTTAACTTATAATAAGGCCCAATGATAATATTTTAAAAATATGTAGAAACCAAGAGAATTAAACCATTTTGTAATAATAATGACTTATGGAGATTGAAAAATAATTGATTGATTTTGTTTTGTACACATTATCGTACATCAACGTTTTTTTTACAGTCTGTATAATCGGAATTCAAAATAGTTTGGTTACAAATACGGTACGGTTTCTCTGCAGAATCTGAATGCGGGGAAGGGCTTTCATTTTACTTACACACGGGCTCAAGTTAGTGTAGTTGCAGCACTACCTGTTGATGATAATATATGTATATACTTGCATGAATAATTGTTTGAGTGGTTGCGAACAGTATTTTCAGTAGAAATTTAAGCCAAAATCAAAGTATCGGTTGATGTCAAGTTCAGTTATAAATATAATTTGGAAATTAAGTGACTACACATCCTGTCCCCCCTCCCAAATGGTACTTCTGCCGACCATGGGACTAGAGTACGCGTCCGAAAAATGAATTCACAAGACACACTCAGGCATTCGATACATGTTTATTATTACCAGATATCGAAACATCAGCCAAACCTTTCAATCGCGATACCTTTATTATTAGTAGAATTAGTAAATAATTTATTACTTAGCGAAACAAATTTTTCCGTTTTTCGTTTCAGCGTTAAGAACGCGAGCGCGATATATGTTATCCGACCGGCACAGATTTGATTCATTATAATGTAATTAATTTGTAGCAATTTGCAACACATTTTCGAAAATTTACAATAAATCGTACTGACGATACTTTAGTACTCATGCATTAGGAAGTTCCAACTTCATTTCCGTCCGATCAAAGCCAAACGTATGTTGTCATTCGTTGCAAATCACTTAAAAAATAATAACGTCAAATCAGGGTGCCAACTTCATGAACGTGTCGAAAACTGGCTGTACGTAGCAATCAACAGCTGCCCTCGTACCACATCATGTATGTACACTTGTATTACATATGATTTTGTACAGGTCTTACGCAAAACCACGGCGCTCCACAATTAGTACCGTTACGAGAGGATTGCGAAAATTACAAACACGAAGCAGTTAAGTATTTATTATATTCGTTTCGAGCACTTATTTAAAGATGGTAGTAGCATTGTATGTATCTACGGCGTAGATTCTACGCGGCCTATGCACCTACGGGAACGAGGATTATGAACAATAACTGCGTTTCAACAATGTTTATCGTGCATTACACTATTACCATAAAATTCATTACACCGCTCTCATTAATATTATACGCGTAGGTAAAAGGTAAATGTTACGCAAAAATATGCGTGCGGCAACAAGCATGTAATATACTGAATCGACCATAGTTATTATGATCAGGAGACCTCTTAAAAACATCGTTGTAATTACGGCGTAACGTATCTGTCTACACGTATTGCCGTGGAAACCACTGGTGAGCGATTATATTCCAATCTAGTTGCACGCTAATAGTATTTATTAGGGAAAATACACGATGTTTTAAGTCCGTCGATACAACGAAATTAACGTTGCTACTGTGGACACGGTAAAACTTTGCCAAAACATCAACTGTATTGGTACACTCACCTAGACGATTTATGTCCGACGAGGTCACTGTACGACAACATCGAATTCATCAAATTATGAAGTGGTCAAATTGACCACTTGCGATGACACAACGATTGACGCTAAAAGGGCCGCCACTCCCTCTTCATTTGAATGTATTTTGTTGTTATTAAAATTGTATGTACACAATCAAGATATAGTAGACGTTGAACGCGTAAAAGATTATTCTGTCAAACACATGAAGAATGTTTTATTTCCATATTAACTATATCTGATCATCTGTAAAAGTAAGGCGTAAGAAAATTAATGATTTTATACTTAATCTGTTATGTTTATTTAGAAAAATGAAATTATACATTTAAATTTGATTTTAATTGACATTTATTTTTTTAGCTACCTTTATCCTCCTTCCCATCACTAATCTTAATGACTGAAATGTGAAGGTACGAATGAATTGAAATGATCTTTAACGTATACTCACAAGAATATTCATACAATTTCGCAATGGTAAAATGATTTTTGTACACATGAAAATGGTCATGATGGATATTTACATACGAATAGGCATTCAATTCGGATTTTAATAGTAAAACATAAAATTATTATTTCAGTTATATACCAAGCCACTAATATTATTTACATAGCATCTATGTTTTTAATCAAATTCTAGACAAGGCAATGTTTAATAATTGTAAATACTTCACGAATTGTCAAAACTAAAATACAAAATTACAATAAATAAGTACCTATATACTATATTTGTGTACCTATAACAATCGACAGAAAATTAAATTGTTTAAATTTCAAGGTATTCTGCTAAAACCGTGAAAATAACACTTAAACGCAGGTTTGATGGCTTTCGAAAACGAAGTGAATGAAAAGAATATCAACCCATATAAAATAAGTGGATAAACTATGCTCAACCATATAGAATTTAAGTGATAGTCGTAACTCATATTTTAATTAAATATTCAAGTCCGTGAAAGATAAACAATACCTTAAACGATTAAATCAAACCGGGGAGGAGGGAGGGTGTAAATTATCTATGAAGACCACGTGCAAGAGAAGATTACGCAATGTGATGCTATTCCTCCGTAAGATGTACCCATAGCTTATACCCCTCATTTCGGTCCTGGTTCCTCGAAGCAGCCAAAAATGTTATTTGTTCGCTTTCCGTTCGTTCACGCACCCGTTCGAAAAGTTTTGTAGCGAGATAACAGAATACAACAAGTATTATCTGTGCTTCTTTACTACCAAAATGCTCTCCAAAACTATTGTTGTCATCCAGCTTAAAGAACGCACGCATGCGACCAATTTAAGCGTAGGAGTGTTTATCGTGAAGATTTGATGTTAATAATATATCAGGCCGATTTCAAATCCGAACTTAAATAATATTTTTAGTAATTTTTTTTTCATAGTTTTATTTTTAATTTCATTTTGAAGAACTTTTGTGCATAAACAAGAACACGCAATTCAAAATAAACAATTATTATTAAATGATTCAATTAAAACAACCAATCGGTGTACTGTAAACGAATATCAATCTGATGTTGATAATCTAGTCGAAAATGAGACTAAAACATCGCACTTCAATTTGAAAGCAATTTTACCGTGTTCTGAAGTTTACATCAATGAAATCTTCCGCACAAAGAAATGTTTTTCTGATCACTATAAATCATTCACGCGTGAACTTGATACAAATGTATTTTAATATTTATTATTTTTTTTTCTCCGTGTCACATTTTCGTTTTACGTGACTTTCAAGATACGACAATATTACGATTATTTGTATATATAAAACAGTAAGCTGATTGACTGCTATCAACGCACAGCTCAAACCATTGGACGGATCTGGCTGAAATTTGGCATACAGATAGCTATTATGATGTAGACGTGCGCTAAGAAAGGATTTTTCAAAATTTTGAATTTAAAGGGTTGAAATCGGTTTAATATTTTTTGACCAAGTCGATAACTGCGCTATTGAAAATGAATTATCTGTATATATAAAACAGTAAGCTGATTGACTGCTATCAACGCACAGCTCAAACCATTGGACGGATCTGGCTAAATTATGAATACGCCAAAATTGAAACTGAAAGACTAAATTACATCAAAAACAACCAAGCCAAATTGCGTGCAAATAGTTATATTCATTTAAAAGATGCGATTGGACGACAAGACATTGAAGCTAATCAGTTAGGCCAAATGGTTATACTCCCGTCAACTTTTACTGGTGGGCCAAGGTACATGCACGAAAGAACACAAGATGCTATGACCTACGTTAGACATTACGGTCGTCCTGACCTTTTTATTACTTTTACATGTAATCCTCGCTGGGACGAGATAAAAAAGCTCTTACTTCCCGGTCAAAGATCATATGATCGACATGATATAATTGCAAGAGTGTTTCGGTTAAAAGTCAAAAAGACCATGAACTTATTGACAAAAGGTAAAATATTCGGAGAAGTGAGATGCTATATGTATTCAACAGAATACCAAACTGTAGAGAGGTTCAGGTAGTTGTAAGCTATAACTTATCGAATAGGTTATGATAATAATCATTATCTTAAAAACTAAATTAATATGTATAAAATATTATTTCAAAAATCTTAATTAATTTAAATTTCAATAGATTTAACAAAATTTAATCTTGGCAGGTTACATACATTTATATACTTAAACCCGGCAACGACGAGTAATTCAGCTAGTAATAATATAACAATTTAACTAATTATCCGCAAGAACGTAGTACAAATAGCATTTCACCTTGATACACTTATATTTTATAATTTACACATTTTTCCAAACTAATTCAATAAAATAATTCAATTTTTTATGGTAAACTACACTATTTAAGTTAACAGTATATTGAAAAAGTTAAACCTCTATAATTTTTTTATCAACTTTAATTTCTTAATTATTATAACATTTTCCATAACACATGCAAGCAATACTTAAATTGTTTTAAATGTCAAATACAAAATATGTTATATTAATATAAAATTTTAAAGAAAAACGGAAAATTATATTATTTATATTGAAGTTAATAAATTAAACCTGTAATGAAATTACTTATTGACCGTGTCTGTAAATAGTTTGGATTTAAATGGAAATAAAAATAAAATTATAAACCGAATGAATATTTAAATTAGTTTCAAATACTTTTTACTGCCTTTTAAATTCTGTGCGAAGCAAAAAATATATTGATTATGCAATGAAGTCCTTTTTTCCTTTTTCCTGTGGAGTGAATTTGCACAAAAACTCACACAGTATTTCTTTAGGTCTGAAATTTGACAAAGATATCTTTTGATATTTCCAAATAATAAATTGATGATAATAATTAATAACAGAGGAAAAATCGATAAAATTATTTGAATTCCTTAAAATCAAACGTTTTTACAAATAATGTAATTTATCTAATTTGTAAAACGTTTCCTATATCCTGTAATCAAACTTTCAATATCATCAAAGTGTGAAAATCTAAAGCACTATTTTGGTAATAGTTTTAACAAATTATAAATGTAAGAAATATATCTAACAAATTATAGGCATTAACATTGTTAGTTATAAATTATAATTATAACTAGTATTAATAATAACATGTATATAATCGATTTTTTTTTATTTAATATTTCATTGAGAATAAAATCTATAAAACTTTTTTAAAACATTCATCATGGTAAAATGCATTATAATCAAAATTACGAGTATATTTAATAAATAAATATTAAATAAATAATTATTCCATATGAATCTATCAAACCCTATACAATTAATAAAAACTACAATATTTATTTCTATTATACATTGTGAAATGTTCTTATTGTCAATGAATTAGTCGACAGTCGTGTGTCTATCCGAAATACAACTACAAAACATAATCTTTTTAGTGCAACAGTGCACCATATGGTTACAGTTTAAAACTTTAAATCATCGAGTAATAGTAATATTGTGTCGTGTGTACGCATAGTGGGTATTCCATATGAGTGCGCTAACATTTTTTATCCTAAAGTAACTTGACAAAATTTCATTTTAGATAGCGAGTTATGTAGTTCGCGTATTTGTACTCTCTCGCTTGGCAACGTCGTTACGCGCTCTCGACGAATCAAAAATATCCCTCAACTGGCTATGAAAAACTGTACGGGCTACAGGTCATATTACGTGGTTTAAATAACACCATTATACTGATGTTCTACAAAGTGTCAGTAGTAGAAACTTTGGAAACTTTACGCTGGCAAGATATCACGGATGAGCACTTTTTATCCACAGTCAATTTTATTTAACTAAAAGGACAGCCGAACCTCATTCCGGGGAAATCAACGTGAGCAAAATTACATAGGCTCTGGCTTACACTCGTGTCCGAATTCAAACCTACACAAAAATACACGCGAAATTTAAACTGGTATTTATAAATTTGCATTATATAGTAGATATTCAATACATAGATTTGGATCAGAAACATCATTCAACGTTACAATACAGTTTTGTTGTGACTACAATTTTTAGGACCAATTTTTCTAGTATAGTATTTTATACGATTGGATGAAAATGACAAAAGACATAATTGTAGCTAAATAATTATTAAAGTTGAAAATGTATCGTATGGTTATTATTTACCAAAACGTGACTGGGCAGGTGTTCACGTAACAGTTTTTGCCTTTCACTATTTGGCCTCTGGTGCGTATGATGGGATTTCAAATCTAATCTTAAGTGTACATGTATTGGGTGAATGATAGTATTACGTTGTCTAAGGCGCAAGTCAGCCTGGAAAGGTCTTACCACCGCAAAGACAAAAGAAGAATAGCGACTTTCGATGATGGTCTGGTGTGGTGTTTTACGGCGGTAAGATTTAGTAACAACGTGAAAGGACGGTGATATAGAATATTCTACGAAAATCGAATCCAAAACCTGTTTTGTGTTTTGATATACACCACAAAGCCGAAAAAAAGCTATTATTGATAAGACGATGACATAAGAGAATAATATCCAATTAATTAAGCTATCAATGGGATGGCATAATTTTATATAATTACGTCATAAAATCGTAATTATATTACATATATATATAGAAATGTGAGTTTGTATTATACAGTGGTATAAAACTGTATTATACAAGGTATTAAACACATGGTATAAAATTATTCAATACAGACGATATAAAAAATAAAAAAACTAAGGCGTTATTTTTAATAATCAACTATTAATTTTC